TCTCTCTCTCTCTCACATTTAGATGAACAAAACTCAAAGACTTTGTTAAAATTCAAATACCATTGTGAAACACCTGGTTTTTTGTTAAAATTTGGTGCTGAAAATATTAATATTAAAATAATACTCTAGTAAGGGGGAATAATTAAGATATCGTTGTATGATAAGGTCCGTCAAAATCTATAATATATCTGTAAATATCTCAGTACTTGAATACTTAATATCAAATATTATAACTTTTCAAAAGAAAAGAAAATATTTAAGTAATTGTTACCAAGCAAGTGTCCCATTGTTATCTTTGACTATCGTTGACTGCGTGAAAGTGATACTGTGATACTGGCTACTAATGGAGACGAATTTTATTGACAGAATGGTTCGCAGACTTTGCCTAGCATATCTAGGGTGTGCATTTCTTTGTTTTGTCTTTGTAGTGGCGTACCCACTCATCTGTTTAGTGTTAACAACAGTTAACAGTGTAGACCGGCTTGTTGCCGCAGTTTGGCCTTATGCCTGCCGCTACTTCAGGTACTCAGATGAGATTGGGTTCGCCTGGTTCATTTGTAAATATTCATGGCGTGGGCTAGGCAAAGTGAGAGGTTGGTGGTAGACTGAATAGGGATTAGGTGAGATGTGTGGTGTTAGGTTTTTTAAGCATTGGTAAACTAATCAAAATTCTCTATTCTCATTGGCATTTTTACTCAAAATTCTTATTTCTTATTTTAAACATTGGCTATTTTTTTTTTCAAAATTCATCTCCCTTATTAGCCAACCTCATTTACTTTCTGATGGCCATGATACCTCCCCTGAAGCTGATGCCAGGCAATCTTCTCTCATGATGCTCCTCGTCACTATTGGTCCCTTGAAGACAAGCTATTACCGCTTCCTATGATTGTCTTGAACTGAAGTTTTATTTTTGCCAGCTGGAAACTCTGATCCCGGCTTTCATATGATCTGCAGGGTATTCTGAACAAGAACTTTCCTAATGATGAAGAACATTATCAAGATCTCCTGCCCATTGGTTATCTTGAACCAATGCAGCCGCTCTACCCGCTGAACCTCTTGAATTCAAATGAGCTATCGATTATAGAAACTATCTATTCAATTACTTCTGGATGATTATATATAAACGCTTTCATCCAACCTGAGGATATTCCTCAAGAAACAACTTCAATCAAAGCTGATATCCTTGAACCAGCATCCAACTAACTCAGCCCCACAACTTAAAATTCCTTCTATTATCATCTTGGAAAACTGCCCCTTCCACTCTTTCAAAGCCTCCTACCCCCCCGCCTCCTTCAAACACTAGCAAATTTCTTCCTCAAGCTTGCTTCAAAGGGACCAACCTGCTCAATGATCACGAAAGACAACTTCTATAAAAGCTTACTTTCTTGAACCAGCACGTCATGCTCCCAATCATCTTTCTATGTCACCTTGGAAAAGAAACATTGCATCTCTCTCACCATGGGTTGTCAATGCCTGGCATCTTTCTCTTACGACCTGTCTTCAAAGGGACCAAGCTGAGACAAGAGAAATCACCTTTTTCACCTCAATCCTCTTCAATATCCTAACCATCTTCAACAAATTATTTGACAGATAAAGAATAAAATTATTTATTGGAATACGGATTTTCTATAAGTATATTCCATTAGAAGTCATACACATTTACCAAGAGTTAGTTAAATAGGGGTAATAAAATCTCAACGATTATATATAGATAAAATTAAATCTTACAGAGATAAAGAGGATGGGAAGAAGATGACACTGGCCACCACGTCATCACCCTTGACTTATGGGTTCATCTGAATCACGTTACACAGCTAATTCTATAGGAAATTAACGCATTAGAACAAGTATGTTTCTCTTACACATGAAACAAACTTCTATTGTCCTACTTCAATAAAAATATTGGCAGGGCTCATCAATCCTCTTCAATTATTCCTTTCTTCAACAAATCATTTGATAGAAAAAGAATAAAATTATTTATTTGAATACGAGTTTTCTATAAAATTCCATCAGAATACATACCCATTTATTAAGAATTAGTTAAATAGGGGTAATAAAATCCCAATGATTATTCAACGATAAATTTAAATGGGTATCAATCATACAGAGATAGATGGGATAGGAATTGACACTGGCCCCCACATTACCATCCTTGACTTATTGGCTTATCTGAAATATAGGATCATGTTCATATCACATTGAGGAACAAATGCAGAACATTCAGTCTAAGATGGCTCTAATTCCAAAACATTGTAAAACATGGGTTTTTTATTACAAGAAATGTTTAAAAATATACGCAGCGTGGATAGTTACAATCAAATCTCAATTTTATCTTGAATCGTGAATACTCTGCTCTTTGTTTTATATTTAGTTTGATAACTGTAGAAAAATTATAGTAGAATAAATTGTGCTAGATATATTATTTAAAAATGCTGTTTACGTATTTATTAAAAGAGAGAAGTGCCTTTTTTACATGTGAATATAATTCTTCAGTACTTTTACAATACCATTGGAATAGTAACGCAATCCTAGTAAAGGCTTATGTATTCATGTATCATATGTAAATACCAGTGTTTTCTATTCTTTCACTTATTTTTATCTTTTTCTTTTCCTCGGGGGGGGGGGGGGATTTATATATATACCCAGACCAATCTGTGTTTATGAGCTTAATTGTCTTAATTAAGTGTTAACTCTATATATTGACTTCGTCTTTAAGTTCTATTAAATTAATAAATAAAACTGTTTTAAAAATCTATATAAATACAATTATTACCATTAAATGTGATTAGTTTTTACCTTTTACCCAGACTAATCTATTAGCTTGATTGTCTTTATATAATTTTTCCTGTATATAAATATCATATTACCATTAAGGTACTATTAATGTTTTTCCTACATGTATCCTACATTTCTGCTTGGAGAATCTGTATAAGACTAAAAGGTCTTAATAAAGCTTTTTTGTTGTTGTTGAATAGCTTTTACCTTTTTTAATATACAGACTCCGTGGTAAATCCATGTATAAGAAATTTATTTTTCTCGGATTTACCCAGACCAATTTGTATATGAGCTTAATTGTCGTAATCAAGTTTTCTCGTATATGAATTCAACTTTATTACCATTAAATGTAATTAGCTTTTACTTTTTTATTCTTTTCATTTGCAGAGACTCCGTGGTAAATACATGTATAAGACTGTATATGTTTTAATAAAAAAGTTTGTGTGTGTTGTTGTGTATAGTATCACAAAGATTGTTTAGTAATTGATATACAATATATAAGGATCTATTTACTATGTAGAGATAGCAAGATTTATAGCAGTATAGATATGGTGTTTGCTATAAATGTCCTTGCTGCTTGAGTTGGATTTATGATAGAATTGGATAGTCAATTTGTAATAAACATTTATATCATCTAATTTGTCAAGGGATTTACAATCTGTATTGTAGCTACATATAAGCATGAATCAATCACTATAACAAACTACTACCTTTAGACAAGTTAAATAATCTTTCATTTAAATTCCTGATGCACAAGACTTCTATAGTTCCAACCAGCATTTAGTTCGACAACTTTTTTCTTCTATCCAAAAGTTCAACTATTACAAATGATAACAAACCTCCATTCTGATGTTGATACTCATCCCCAAATACACAGGATCCAGGCCATGATAATCATTTATTCATTTATTTTCATTTATTTATTACAAAACACACGCTATATCCTATGTGGATAAAGGCCATGATAATAATGATGGGTTGTGACTGCTTTTAGTTCAAGTGCACTACATGTTTATAGATAACGAAAGAATGCTTGCACAAGTCCCCAAACTTACTGATTATATTGAATCTAACATGTTGAAAACCGAAATAAATTACAACCGATTTGACTCTTCAAGTAGGAATATAATTTCTAATTATATAAGGGGAAAATTGCAGAAATACTATGAGAAGACTAATACCATTTTCAAGTCCTTCTTCACTGATTCCCAAATACCCAAATATGTCAAGCCAAATTTTTACAGTGTCCAATTTTTTACTGGACACGGTAACTTTAGATCATATTTGTACAAAGTCATAAAGACGGATTCGCCTAAATGCTCATGTGGTGCAGAAGAAGAAAATCCTGTACATATTCTAACGGACTGTCGACTTGTAGAGGACTTGAGAGTCAAAAATCAAATAAATATAAACTGTCTAAATCAAATAGTTAATAATAGATATATGTATATAAATTTTAATAGATTTTGTAGAATGTTTTTTAGTAATAGATAGCCTGGGCTGTAATAACTGATATATAGATATATGCTGTAAATAGCTCTAAATTTCTGTTCTTATCTGTGATGTTCACTAATATTCATTATTGGGTAATTAAATCGTTAACTAACTGACAAATATGTTAATAATTTCTATTATAATAACTAAAATCATATTAATAATTACTGTAAATAAGCTCCCAAACTTGTGTATGCATGCAAATATCCAAGACGGATATCGCGTGCTTTGTAAATGATAATAAATAAACAAATAAATGATGAATTTGAAGTTATAGGGCGTCAGAGCCATGTACTTTATACTCCCTGGTGAGTTGATTGAACGTATGGAAATCGGAGTCCAATATGTGTTAAATAGTTTATTATTTTTTTAAATAGTTCGTGCTGGATTCGATAAGAAATATATATATAGATCTTGGGACCTGATTGTCACAAATTGGCATTGTACTACTACCCCAGCTCTTGATCCTCGATTCAACCAAACATGGCTGACAGGAAATTTTCATTTTATATAGAGAAACATATAGGAGAATCAAGAAGTTATTCCTCCATATATTATACCTACTGAATATGAAAGATACTGCTAACCATTAAAATAACTCTACCATAAAGAGGATGCACGACAAACGCAAAATTTGTCTGAAAGGTACAACATGTATGTGATTCTAACCTTAGGGATGAAGTATGAAAGGATGAATTGTGAAGAGTAATGATAAACGGAAAAATAAAAGTGTCCAGGGATGGAAATCAACCCAGTGTTCCGCTTACTGGGCAGATGCCATGTCCACTAGGCTACCCTGGACTTAACATGTATGTACTCTCTCTCTCTCTCTTGAATATGCAAATAGCTAGAATTTCAACCACAATATGCAAAGTAGTTAGGAGTTACGGCAACTTCAGGCTGAATAAAAGGACAGCTTTCAGACCTCTTCACATGGTTCTTTTACAGATGTGTGTGTTGAGTTACACCTGTAGAAAACCCGTGTTGAAAGTTCGTGTTCTATCGATTTAATAAAAAGGAACATTTCTCCGTTGTTCTTGTACTTTTGTTTTAACACTAGTAAATATTGCCACGTAGACAAGCACAAAATATACAAGTAATCAGTATTAAAAGAGTATGATCGGCTAATAAAATGATATCCTTCGATATATTCCCTACCATATTTACATATGTAGCTAGGTCTGAGTTTATGCAACTTGTTATTCTCACAAATATGGAGTCCATCGAGAATGTCAGGTTTATGATCTGGTAGCGTTATTCGATGGATTCCTTTAATCAGGATGAAACACACACACACAAAGCTTTATTAAGACCAGCGGTCTTATACAGGTTCACCACAGGAAGATATAATAGAGCTCCTATACTCCAGGCAGCGCAGCACCCAACAGCAGCCTCCTGGTCCGACACATGTCCAATGGCCACACGTTCCTTTGTGCATACGTCATGGTTAGCGAATCACTGAACTTAATCAGGATGAAACAAGAGCTATAGTTTCCTGTGACCAAATTGATCCTATACCTGCTGGGTAGTTTCATCGAATTTATAATTGTGTCCAAGATCGTTACAAACATATCTTTACATGTTGCGATTACTTCGTGATTTATGAAAGTTTGCGAAAGATTGTACTTTTTAAGTGTGTGTGTTGATAAAAATATTTAAAAGAAATTCTCTCTCTTTTTCTAGTCGATTTGCCATTTTATCATCAAAAATTCTATTAATAAGAACATTTCAACCGTAAGCCACAATATACGAATTAATCAAAATTTCATCTTTATATTACAAAACAGAGAAAATTCCTTTTATAAAAATCCCAAATATCTTTAAACTCGAGATGCAAAATGGTTAAAAAGAAATGCGTATCGGTTTTATATTCAAGCATTCCTATTGTTATTTGAGGGGGTCAGTTCTGCGGTCAGTTCCACAGGAAGGAGGATTGTTGAAGCGCTATCCAAACACAATCAGGATCTTGTCATCGATCTTAGACGTCGAAAGGACTCGCAGGTGACAAACGTCCGACCACCAACGGTAGTTAATGGCCATCATTACAGGCCACCAGGAGCGACCTTTGTTGAGCCGTCAAACAGAAGGCCACACCTCGAGCGGTCCCTCTCGACTCTATACAAAGCCTCTTGTTGTCTTTGAGACGACATCCTGATCCCTTGTTCGACATAGTATCCATTCTGTGGGTCTGGTGAGGTGGTTCTAATAGCATGTTTGAGGACGGTGTTAGATACTGTTGTGAGGGGGAGGCGGGCGTTTCTTTGAAGCCGCTCTAAATACTTGTAGGGGATTTAGTACTTATATCTCTCTTCTCCCCCATACTCTATCTCTAAATATACTTACTAGAGATCTCTCAAGTTGACAAAATACTTAAAGCTTAGTATATCTTTTTTATCAATATTGTATTTAGTATTGTTGTTGTTGTTTCTTATCCTCTTGTGTAAAGATTACACGAATTCCATTCCAGTATTTAGTATTGTTGAAGGAATATTGAAAAATTATATTTATATGAACATTCGTTTGGGAATTTATTTTTTAATTTATATTTTTGTTTTATATATATATAAACAATTTTGTGCATTTCTATTTATTAAATTCACACAGTTACGTAAAATTTTGTATGAATTAAGACGGTTATGAATAATATTTTTTTTTTCGGAAAAAAAGTATAATTATTGGCTTGATTGAGAAAATATTCCATATTGTTGTATAGTTATTATTTAATTTATTATATAAACATTACTCACCAGATGAAATTATATATTTAATAGTGAATTTAATAATGAAAATATATATTTAAAAGGTTACATTTATTTTATTTTACAATTTTCTTTATATTCGAATCCAATGTTTTTCGCTTCACGCGCTCTATGATGAAGATATATTGTCTATCTTTAAACACAGAATACTACACTTATATTTACATAATGTTTCTTATTTGTTAACACAAGTAAATGACGATTATCGTTTGTTAAACCCACGATACATGCATTATAGCAAAATACACTGGTGTCCGAAAAATAAGAAACTTTTGTTTTTTTAATGATATGTTTTAAAATATACAACGCTAAAAGCTAAAAAGTAATTTAATTAGGTATTTTAAGTCGTAGAATTTATTTATCGCAACCATTCGATTTGGTATAATTGAAAATTACAAATTTTTGCTTGTTTTTATAAGTGTGCTATTTGGCGTGTCGTTTACCCTATCTAAGAATTGTCCAATTATAATTTTATTTAATCCTTAGTTAATTATGAGTTTACGAAAAATTTAGCAGATTATTTAAAATGGAGAGCTGTTGGAAGAATGGAGGCAGGGCAATCACCAGTTGAAAGAGCAAAATCGCTAAATGTGAATAAATCTGTGGTCAGCAAAATATGGAAACAGTTCATTGAGACAGGAACCATCAAAAGAAAAGAAGGTTCTGGTAGAAAAAGAAAAACAGCTACCTCTGAAGACCGTTATCAGGTCGTAACTGCCAAGCGCCATAGGGAGATAACAGCTATTCAACTCTCTAATGAACTCTCAAGTGCTACTGGAACGAGAATTTCAAGACAAACTGTTTACCAAAGGCTTCACGAAGGTGCTGTTTATGCAAGACGACCAATGGTATATTCCTTTAACTTCTGCTCACAGGAGAGCCCGCTTGAATTGGTACTTGGAACATTACGCCTGGACTCATGATCAGTGGGCCAATGTTCTCTTCAGTAACGAGTCAACATTTAGTTTAAACACAGATTCTCGAAGAGTTTTCATCTGGAGGGAGCCTGGAACCCGCTATCATCCCAGTAACATGAGGGAAATAGACAGTTTTAGAGGGGGCAGTCTCTTAGTCTGGGCTGGCATCAGTTCTAGCAGACGCACACCCCTCCACATTTTTTCTGGGGGCACTTTAACTGCCCAAAGGTACAGGGACGAGATCCTTAAGCCCTATCTAAGACCTTATAGAGATCAAATTGGTCACAATTTAATTTTTATGGACGATAATGCTCGTCCGCATAGGGCTATGCTAGTCAATGAATATCTCCAGAGTGAGAATATTCGAAGGATAGATTGGCCAGCCAGATCTCCGGACCTGAATCCAATAGAACATGTGTGGGATGCTCTAGGGAGGCGTATTGGAGCTCGTCACCCCTCTCCCAGAACCCTCGTTGAGCTAAGAACTGCTCTATTGGAGGAGTGGGTTTACTACCCCTGGACCTCCTCCAAAGCCTGGTAAACAGTATGAGGGCTCGCTGTGAGACCTTGATAGCTGTTAGAGGTGATCATACTCCCTATTGATATCTTATTTCTTTAAGATCTGGAACCTTAGCTTTATGTATGTTGGTAATAATTTGCATATTTCATAATTTCAAATATATATTTTTATTTTCATATAGCTAGTCAAATTCTCCATGGTTTAAACTATTTGTATACTAAATTTTATATTTGTTAATAAATTAGCTTTTGAGAAATTTCAATATTGGTTAAGTTTCTTATTTTTTGGACACCAGTGTAATTTAGTAATAGAAATTTTAATATTATAAGTTTAGTTGTATAACAATGTGTGTAACTGGTACACATCAAATTTTGAAATCTCTATCAATTTGTTTTTTATTTAACATAAATAAATTATTATATTAATTATTACACACACAAAAAAAAACATTTATTTTGGGTAATTCATGCTCCTGCAAAAATTAATAAGTAATAGATGCATTTATCACATTAAAAAAATGACATTTACTCATGAAAAAAAACCTGCTAAATCTCTAATTTGAAATATAATTTTTAAATGAATATATTAAATATATATATTTTTGTTTAATTTTTTTTTATTAAAAAGGCATATATTGGATCAAAATATCATTTATTTTTTATATTATCATTTATATATGCCTTTTTAATTAAAGATTTATTTATAGATTGCTCTATTTTCAAAAAATATATTTTTGTGTAATTATATATAGGCTTTTAGTGTCAATTTAAGGGATTTTGTGTGTTGATAAACTATATTTTTGTATGTGTTGTTGTTTATTATTTAACTATCAAACGATCTCTTATATAGAGAGTGATATATAGGTGCATTGGTACTATACAATCACTTTGTTGACATCAATATTCCAGGAATCACTCTAATCCAAATGTAGAGAAACGACGCTAAAATTATGTTCCATCTATTTACCGTCTTCCAGTTGGTCTCGAGGACCACGCCATCACCATCTCCTCAGCGGCGAAGTACGCGATCTACGTATTCTTCGTAGATCACGAAATACGTGGTGTCGCTGAAGACCCACTGGCGATTCTCCACCAAACTCTGCAGCGTTGGTAGAGACGCCATATTCATTATACATAGTGTATATAATGCCTATTATCTTTTTTTAAATAGTGCAGGACTATGCATTTTGCATTAACTTTATTATTATTAACATCATGAAACGCGATATCCCAAACTCAGGGATATTTGCGCCAATACATTTCACTGCATTACAGCAATTCGGCTATATACAATCCTGTTCAATTCATTATTTTACATAAATTAACTAAAGAAAATTGTCCAAAGAGAAAAACAAACAACAAAGCAAAACACACAGAGCAAGCATCGCAGTTCTTTTTTTTTTTTTTCTAAGATTCCTTCTCTTTTTTCCAATTCAAGAGAAAGTTGTATATGTATTTACAAAATTGATCAAAATTTTTATACTTTTCTTTTTTGTCTACAAATTCATCAAGCTGTCCAATACGACCAAATCTATTTTCCCTAAAATCCCGGAAAATTGGGCACTCCAGAAGTAGATGTCTCGCGTCTTGAATTTCACCTCCGCAG